CCATCTCTCCCCAGGCAATGTCACATCTCATAGTCCTAGATGTCTGGCCTCTGCACCTGTTCTAAGCCCCTCCCCCGCCTCGGCCCCCAGGAACCACAGCCAGGACCCTGCAAGGAGTCTGGGGAAGTCACATGCTGACCCTGCAACTGCAGGTCCTTAGTTGATGGACCTGAGCTCAACAGGTGAATTCACCTTCATGCCCTGACCCCACCTGGGGCAGATCCAGGTCTCCAGGGTTCAAGGCTGTGCGGGGCTCAGGATTCGGCTCTCCCCAGCCCAGCTCAGCCTGACAGGCATGTTCAGGTGTGGAGGTACCCCTTCCAAGACTGGAAGAAATGAGTCTCATGTGCAGAACGAGCCAGAGGCTGGCGGCAGCCACTACTAAGTCTTCCCTAATGAGTGAGCAGGCTCTGCAGGACCACTTCATATTTTCACTGTTAGAAGCACAATTTTTCTGCTTTTAAACACTTTAATGGGGCTCCCGTTGCTCCAGAAATAATGATCCAAATCCCTAATATGGTACCCAAGATATACATGGTCTCTCTCAATATTAGCTTCTGACGCTGGTTTCAAATACCCAGCACAGGGCGCCTGGGTGACTTAGTCATTGAGTGTCTGCCTTTGGCTCAGGTCATGATCCCAGGGTCCTGAGATCAAGCCCTGCGTCAGGCTCCCTGCTCAGCAGGGAGTCTGCTCCTCCCTCTGACTCCCCCCTCTTGTGCTCTCTCTATCTCTCATTCTCTCTCTCAAATAAATAAATAAAATCTTTAAAAAAAAATATCAAATACTGAGCATGTGTGCACAAATAGGTATCCTCACGCCCTATGTATACAAAACACACTCAGAGACACAGACATGCACAGCCACAGGCAGATACACACACACACATACATATAAAGCAGACACGCAAGACTGACACACACACACACACACACACACACACACACGGATGTTATTCCTTGTGAGTCCCGGGAGGCTCTCTACCCTCCTCTTTCTCCCAGGAAGGGTGGCCTCTGTATCCAGGCAACTGGATCCTGGCTGTCAGGCCAAGGAGACCCAGAGGCAATAATGTCTCCTAGAGAAGAGAAAGAATTAGGGCTCTTCTCTTCCCCTGGACACTGCCTGGCATTGGGTGACTCTTCGGTCCTCAGCACCCACAACGGGTCAATGCTATGTGATCCTGGGTCCCTGGAATCCTGCCGGTGGCTCACCCCCTCCCCTCATTCTTTCTGCTCATCTACTGGAAAAGCAACGAACTGCTTACTTGATTTGAAAGAAGGGAAGTTTGAGGGGCCCATCTTGCAATTCTGCAGAAATCGAAAAACTGACTCAAACCGAGTGACTGAGTCGGAGACAGAGGTCCCGTTGTCCCTGATCCACAGAGCTTCCCCCCCCCGGGGGGGGACCCTTCAGGGCTTCCGTCCACGGGGCCCAGGTCGGGTTGTGGACCATATAGTAGCAATGGCCACTGGAGGGATGGGCAGGGAACACAATGCCCTTGGATCCACACGCCACGGGTTGGGGACGTGCTCTGCTGATGCTGTATGGTGTCTCTGTGGTACCTCCTGAGACCATTTAGTTAAAAGTGACAAGTTCCCTCATGTTTGAGGGAGAAGTGGTTAAGGAGTTAAGTGAGGAACCGGTTACAGATGCAAAGGAGCTGAAGCTTTCTGTGTGCGGTTTCGGACAGGGCTTGTCCCATTTGGTAACTCAGCAATTTTCCTGGTCAGCAACTTCCCGGCGGAGGCAGGCTCTGCGCTGGGCCTCGCTGCGAGCAGACTGCCGCGGGGCCACCAGGGGGCGCGCCGAGCCCCGGTCTGCGGACCCGCGGACTCAGGCCGCTGGGCACCGCCTCCCCCTGACTTCCTGCCCCCACCCCGGAGGAGGGAGACAGTCTGTTCTGGGGGTCCCCACGACCACCTTGAGGTTCGATGATTCACTAGAAGGACCTGAAGAACAACTCCTATTGTTTTAAGCCACCTAGCCTGTACTACTTTGCTAAGGCAGCCCCGGTGTCGCAAAGACGTGCAGCGACTGCATGGTGACTTAAGTTGTTCAGATTCTAGCCCCTCCAGGGGTCGGACTGATCCAGTGCCTATCTGTTGTGGCCCATCTGCTGTGGCCCAAGGCCCTCAGGTAAACCAGGGCACTCTTACCAGGCAGGACAGTCCAAGAGCTCAGGGGTTCTCCCCCAGGAGCCCAGGCAAAGGCCAGACCAATCTTTGCTTCAGGCTAATTCTTTACTACATGCATAGCTAGGAAGCTGAGGAATTGGGTTGCAGAGAAGCAGGGAGGCCCCGTGTATGCGTCTTGAATTCCTATGTTGTCCCAACTCTTCAAGAGAGAGATGCTCATGGACCCAGCCCCTGGGCAGTGGTGACCACGCCCCCCTGACGGGGCAGGTCTGAGTCTGGAAGCTTCTCGCCAGAGCCGGCTACGTAATTTGTGGGGCCCAGAGCAAAACGAAAATGTGGGGGCCCTGTGACAAAAAGCAGGAAAAAGTTCCTTCCTTTCTTCCAGGGACTGTCTCTCTTGACCTGTGGTGTGGTTTGGTTTTTGTCTTCTTTACACTAAAAAAAAAAATTGTGGTAAAATACACATAAGATAAAATTTACCATTTAATTAATTTATTTTTAAAGATTTTATTTATTTATTTGAGAGAGAGAGAAAGAGCGGGGAGAGAGATAGAGGGGGAGGGACAGAGGGAGAGGGAGAAGCAGGCTCCCTGCTGAGCAGGGAGCCGATAAGGGGCTGCTGGATCCCAGGACAATGAAATCATGACCTGAGCCAAAGGCAGCTGCTTAACCGACTGAGCCACCCACGTGCCCCTAAAATTTATCATTTTAATGTATACAGTTCTGTATACATTCTGTATCATTTTAACTGTATCCAGTTCCAGAACTTTTCCATCACCCCAGAAGGAGACCCTATACCCGTTAGTAGTCACTCCCCACCCTCTCCTCCCCCAACCCCTGGGAACCACTAATCCACTCCCCGTTTCCATGGATTTGTCTCTTCTGGGCATTTCATAAATATGGAGTCTTACAGTATGTGGCCTTTTGTGTCTGGCTCCTTTCTCTTAGCTTAATTTTTTGAGGTTTATCCATGTCATAGCATGTGTTGGTAGGCAGCACCTTTTTTATTTTTAATTTTTATTTATTTTTAAAAAGAGTTTATTTATTTATTTGACAGAGAGAGACACAGTGAGAGAGGGAACACAAGCAGGGGGAGTGGGAGAGGGAGAAGCAGGCTTCCCGCGGAGCAGGGAGCCCAATGCGGGGCTCGATCCCAGGACTCTGGGATCATGACCTGAGCCGAAGGCAGACGCTAACGACTGAGCCACCCAGGTACCCCAGGCGGCACCTTTTAAAAAAAAAATTTATTTATTTATTTATTTGAGAGAGAGAGAGAATGACAGGAGGTAGGGGCAGAGGGAGAAGCAGACTTCCCGCTGAGCAGGGAGCCTGACATGGGGCTCGATCCCAGGACCCTGGAATCGTGACCTGAGCTGAAGGCAGCCGCTTAATTGAGACACCCAAGCACCCCAGTAGGCGGCAGTTTTTGGTTTTTTTTTTTAAGATTTTATTTATTTGACAGAGAGAGAGGGAACACAAGCAGGGGGAGCGGGAGAGGGAGAAGCAGGCTTCCCGCTGAGCAGGGAGCCCGATACGGGGCTCGATCCCAGGACCCTGGGATCATGACCTGAGCCGAAGGCAGACGCTTAATGACTGAGCCACCCAGGCGCCCCAGGCGGCCGTTTTAATAAGCAAAGGGAACTTAAATACAGGGCTTATCTTGGGCAGCAGCAAGACCAGTGGACCCTGCACCCGCCCACCAAATCTTAAATCTTATATACAGGGAGGCCTTAACTGGGCTCAGTCACCTACACGCTGCAGGAGTTCTCAAGGCTGTGAGTCCTTGGAACAGCATCTGGGAGCAGGAAAGGCATGCAGAACCCACATTCCAAGCACGGGGAGGGGGTGAGGAGCCTCCAGTGGCCTGGGTCCCATCTTCTCGATGACCTTCCCCAACAGCTAGTTAATGTCCTGTCCCTCAGGTTTGACTTGGGGGTGGGCAGTGTAGACCTTCACAGGTGTCTGGGGCTCCCAACTCTCAACTAAGCAAAGCTCAGATCCTCTCTGTGCCCAGGTAGGGCTTGGGGGTGGGAATGGGGCTGAGAACCTGCCCTGGGGATGGGGGATGGGGGAGGTGGAGGGTGGGAGAGGCGTGTGATCCAAGGATCCAATTTCCCCCTCTGGTACTCCTCATCCCATTAGACTTCAGTTACAAAACACAAATTCAAATCTAGGGGCGCTTGGGTGGCTCAGTCAATCAAGCGTCCAATTCTTGATCTCAGGGTTGTCAAGCCCTGCGTCCTTAAAAAAAAAAAAGCCCTTAAAGAAGGAATAAAATGATTAAGGATTTCAAGGTGGTGACCTCAGAGAGCGTCCCACCCCAAGCGTGAGGCCCTTCTGAGTGCGGGGACCCTGTGTCCCTGCCGGCTTCTCACTGTGGAGCTGGGAGCTTGTGTGGACTGCAGACACAGCCCCAAGGCTGGCGGGGAAGCTCAGTGCCCTTGGGGAGCCAGAGGGCATTGGGTTTGGAGGTCACATGAGGTGTGGTGCCTGAGGGCAGGAGTCAGGCGGGTCATTCTCTTCCCTGTGTCCCCAGCCCCTGCAGGGAGTAGATGTTTGCCTGGTGAATGAATGGATGAGGGAATGAATCCTGCCCCCAGCACCTCACCCGGGCCGAGGCCGGGCTCCTTCCCTGTGTAGGGCAAGCCCCGTGGCCTTTCTGCTCTGCTTCTTCCATTTGTGAAAGGAGAAGTGGGAAGAAGGGATTTGTCAGGACTTTGTGGTTCCCTTTCTGAGGTTCCTCTTCCATGGACGGTCACTACCCTCTTCTTCCCCCAAGAAGCTTCCTGTTAGAGTTTCCTTCTGGGACAGACAGGCGGGTCCAGAAGCCAGTCGGTCTGAGGACAGGCCCCCGGGATCGTGGAGATGTTGTTACCACTGCTGTCCATGCTGTGGGCTGGTGAGCGGGCCGAGGGCCGGGGTGGGGGGGTGGGGGGGTGGGGGGGGTCCCTGGGGGGTGGGGCGGTGCTGGTCCGGACTCAGCTCCTGAGCCTGTGTGTCCCTGCAGGATCCCTGCAGGAGGATCTAGGGTTCGAGCTCCGAGTGCAGGAATCGGTGACGGTGCAGGAGGGTCTGTGTGTCCACGTGCCCTGCTCCTTCTCCTACCCCTGGGTGGGCGGGAGCAACTCTACACCCGCTTACGGCTCCTGGTACCGGATAAAGAATCCCAAAGTGGAAGTTCTCATGGCCACGAACAACCCAGCCAGAGAAGCAAAGAGGAAAAACAAATTTCCATTCCACCTTCCCGGAGACCCTGGGGCTGGCAACTGCTCTCTGAGCATCACGGACGCCCAGAGGGGACACGGTGGAAACTATTATTTTCACCTGGACAGAGGTCCCATGAGACACGCTTACAAGAGTAACAGGCTCACTGTGCATGTGAGAGGTAGGGAGGGTCCCCAAGAGTCAGTCACGGGGTGGGGGGCATGTCCTCAAGGGCAGAAATGGACCCTCTGCTGCTCATCTTTAATGGGGAGAATGGAGCATGGTCCGTTCAACATTGGGGTGAACCCACCCTGTTTCAGAGGCACACATGGGGGTCCCCTCTGGGGTCCGGCCTCTCCTTCTCTCCTCTCCAGCACTGACACAGACCCCGGATATCCGGGTCAAGGAGCCCCTGGAGTCTGGCTGCCCCAGCCACCTGACATGCTCTGTGCCAGGGGCCTGTGATGGGGCGATGCCCCTCACCATCTCCTGGACAGGGGCTGCCCTCAGAGCCCCGGGATTGGACTTGGAGGCCTCCAACTCCTCGGAGATCCTGCTCACACCCCGCCCTCAGGACCACGGAACCAACCTCACCTGTCGGGTGACCTTCCCCAGGGTTGGCATGAGCACCCAAAGCACCATTACGCTCAACGTCTCCTGTGCGTGCAGGGCCTGGACTCGGGTGCTTGCAGGGTAGGGTGGGGGGGGTGCTCAGAGGGGCTGCAGGGAGGACACAGGACTTGTCTGTGTCAATTCCCATTCCTGTGTCTCCTGGGTGGCAGGGGAAGGGCCAGCTCTGACCCCATTAGTCACTGTGTCTCTCTGTCCCAGATGCCCCACAGAACCTGAGCATTGGCATCTCTCGAGGAAATTGCACAGGTAGGTCCGGAGGCCCCCTCCCTAAGGCTGGATGGGAGCAGATCCCCTCAAGAGAGCAGAGCCTGGGGCTTGAAGCCAAGCCGGGAGGGCCAGGGTACACACAGGGAGAGCAGAGTCAGGAGGCCCCCCCCTCACTGCGTGACAGATGATCTTTGCTTACTAGTCAGTATATGTAAAGACTATTTGTCACATACATGCAAGTTACAAAGAATCACCATCGAATGAACACCTTGTTACTCACCAACCAGGTTAAGAAATAGAACAGGTGCACCTGGCTGGCTTGGTTTGTGGTGCATGCGACTCTTGATCTTAGGGTCATGAGTTTGAGCCCTGCGTTTGGGCGTAGGGCCTACTTAAAAAAAAAAAAAAAAAAATAGAACAGCAACTCCACCTTTGGAACACCCTAAATGTTCCTTCGCAATTTCAGCCCCTTCCATCTGGCCTCACAGAAAGCCACTACACTGGACGCTGTGTTACCATCCTTTCTCTATATTTTATTTTTGATGAAGGTATAATTGATGAATAAACTATATATATTTAAAGTGTATAACGTGATGATTTCATATATGTAGATTCGATATATGTTTACATTGCTAAAGGATGCACACAATCCAGTTAATTAACACATCCATGTATCTTCTATTTTCTTATAATTTTCCGAAATACATGTCTGGCTTCTTCCACTCAGCATGACGTGATCAAGGTTCATCCTTGTTGTAGCGCAGGTCAGCGGTTCACTCGTTAGGCTGAATATTATTCCGTTGTATGGAGAGACCATCATCCATCCATCCATCAGTCTGTCCTCGGATGGACATTTGGATTGTTTCCACCTTGGGGCTCCTGTCAACAGGGCTGCTCTGAACATTTCCCTACAAGGATCTGCTTGACTCCCCACTTCAAGATCTTTCAGATCTACTCCTAGGAGTGGATTTGTGGGGTCGTGACCCCCTATTCTGATGTGGCACCACCTCATGTTCTTGACATTCATCTGTGTTGCTTGTGGCTGTAATTTCTGCCTCTCCTTGTCTGTAGGTATCACATGTTAGTTTCACATTCCACTCTTTTAAGATTTTTATTTATTTGACAGACAGGGAGAGAGTGAGCGCACACAAGCAGGGGGAGTGGGAGAGGGAGAAGCAGGCTCCCCAGTGAGCAGGGAGCCCGATGCGGGGCTCGATCCCAGGACCCTGGGATCGTGACCTGAGCTGAAGGCAGACGCTTAACCGACTGAGCCACCCAGGTGCCCCTCACATTCCGCTCTTGATGGGCACTTGAGTTGTCCATAGATTTTAGTTTTCATGATGATGCCACTTCAAACATTCCCCTCGTGAACAGAAGAGTGTTTCCCTAGGCCGTACCTCGCAAGCCCTGTTGAGCACACAGGTTTCTCAGCGATCTTGTGACAATGCAGATGTGACTCAGGCGGCCTGAGGGGCCTCTGGTTCTGCATTTTTCTTTTTTAAAGATTTTATTTATTTTTTGACAGACAGTGAGAGAGGGAACACAAGCAGGGTAAGTGGGAGAGGGAGAAACAGGCTTCCCACGGAGCAGGGAGCCCGATGCGGGGCTCAATCCCAGGACCCTGAGATCATGACCTGAGCTGAAGGCAGATGCTTAACTGACTGAGCCACCCAGGCACCCCTGGTTCTGCATTTCTAACCAGCTCCTGGAGGGTGCCAGTGCTCTGAGGGCTGGGGCTGTACATTTTATGCCCAGGAACAAAACTGTGGGGTCTCGGGGATGTATATTTTCAATGCTCCTAGATAAGGCTGTCATAGAATAGTTCTGGAAGGCCACACAAGAAACGGCAGTCAATGTTGCTTTTGAGGACAGGGGTTTGTTGCCTGGGGAGTCAGCATGGAAAGGAGACTCTGCTCTGAACTCCCCTTCTTCCTCTGTGAATTTTACAATGCACAATGTGGATGCCCTACTTATCCTGAGACAAGGGGGAAGGCAGGAGAAGGAGGTGAAGAGGTAGAGGTCACGTCCTGAAGAGGCTTGAAGTGTTTGGTACTTGACTTTTGGATACTTGAGTAAGGGGTGTTCAGCATTTCAGAACAGAGAAGGAGAAGTGTAGTTGAGAATGTTCGCCTCGGGGCGCCTGGGTGGCTCAGTCGTTAAGCATCTGCCTTCGGCTCAGGTCATGGTCCCAGGGTCCTGGGTTCGAGCCCTGCATCGGGCTCCCTGCTCGGCGAGGAGCCTGCTTCTCCCTCTCCCACTCCCCCTGCTTGTGCACACACTCTC